CCTGGTGGGGGTGGGATGGGCATCAAGGGAGGCTGACAGGGGCAGGGCAAGGTTTATGGCTGGAGAGAGAATCTCTGGTTCGTCTCCCCCAAGTCCCCACCCTAGCATAGCCCGCGGCTCTGTGGGAAGCAGTTCTGAGTCATAATGACGTGTGAGCCTGTGTGGGTATGAAATCCATGTGTCTGGTGAGTATGTGGCTCAAGGCTGCGTGTGTCTGTGTGTCCAAGCACCTGCTGTGTCTCTGAGCATCTGCATGGTGAATGTGCACACATACACTTGAAGCTGATCCCCACCTGGGGCCCCACTCACAGTCGTGTCTAACCCATTGTTCCCCAACAGCAGTCTTCCTTGGCCCCTAATCCCCTGTTTGCCTGGCTCATCCTCTGGACTCCTTGGGTCTCCATTAATGAGCCCTGGACGCCCCAGGACAAGCTCCAAATTAACCCCACTGCTGACCCCGACATGGACACCTGTAATTAGGCCAGGAGTGGCTGAGGCAGAGAAGGCCCTGGGGCTCAGTGGGGTGAGGGCAAGGCTGGGCTGGGACAGGGAGCCTAATGCCCAGGAATGCTCTAAAAGCTGTGCCTGGCTCCAGGGCCCGCCGCCTGGCTCACCTCTAATAGCCTCCCAGACGGGGCTCCAGGGGGATTACCGCGTGGAGGGGCCCTGGAGTCAGGCAGGGCTGCTCAGCGGGCCCGCCCTGCCAGCTCTGGGCTGGGAGGCCTTATGGAAGGGGAGAGCTGCCCCGTGGCCTCAGAGCCCAGCAGCCAGCCACAAGGTCCTTAGCAGCCCAGAACCCGTGCCCATGACAGCAGTTGCCCAGGAAAGAGCTGAGTCCAAGCTAGCTGGCGCCCCCCAACAGGGCCAGCCCCTCCCTCAGCCCAACTTGTTTTGTTTGCTCTGCGCAGCGTGTCCAGTAGCTCCATCTGCATTAACCCCTGACCCCGACTGTAACTCTTCCTCCCCTCTGACAACTGTGTTTACCCAGTGACTTTCTTGGGCACAGAGGGGAGGGCTTATGCCTTTCTTTTCTTGCCCATCTCTCCAGGGGAAAGCTGCACTCTCCTTGGACTCCCTGATCCCAGGAGCTGCCAGCAGAACCTGTTGCCCATGAGCGCAGCTGATGTGGCTGCAGCTAAGGGCCTGGGAGGCGGCAGCTACATCGGGTTGGGAATGGGGCTAGATTGGTACAATCATCTCGATGTGCGATCTGGCAAGTTTTTTACACAACTTTCACTGGACATCTCATTTGACCCAGCAATTCTACTTCTAGGAATTTGTCTGCATATGTCCTCACTTGTTCTCAGAGGAATATATCAAGAGAACTTATTGCAGCATTTAAGAGCTAAAGACTAGGAACCTTCTAGGTGTCCACCTAGAGGACTAGCTAAATAATGAAGCCACAGCCATACAGTGGAATACTATGCAGCCATTCAAGAGAATAATCTGCATGTTCCCATCGAGAATGATCTTCAGGGTATAAGGATAGTGGGACTTCCCTTGTGGTCCAGCGGTTAAGACTCCACACTCCCAATGCAGGGGGGACCTGGTTCGATCCCTGGTCGGGGAACTAGATCCCACATGCATGTTGCAGCTAAAGATCCTGCGTGTCACAAGGAAGATCCCGCATGCCGCAAATAAGACCCGGCGCAGCCAAATAAATATTTCTTTTAAAAAAGATATAAGGATAGCAAGGTGCAGAGCAGAATATAGAAGATGTCACTATTTGGGGGGGCAGGGAAGAAGGGAAACACACAAACATTCACATATCTTTGAAAATATCTTTGAAAAAATCCTCAAGAAGTAACAGTAGTGGCTGTGGGAAGAGGAGTGGAGAGCGGCAGTGGGAGGGAGACAACATGTTTACTTATACTTTTCGTACTTTATGATTTATTTGAACTTTGTACGTATTTTACCTTTCAAAAATAAATCTATTACACACACAAATATAAATAAAATGCATATATCCCGGGGCCCAACCAATCAACTTCCAGAAATCTAGCCCACACAAATAAATAAGTACACAAAGATTAAACAAGTATGGTCTATTGCTTAAATGTCATATATTAGAAACAACTTAAATGCCCATCAATAGGTAATTGTTTAAATAAATGGTGGTATATCCAAACTATAGAATATTGAGTGACCATATGCAAGAATAAAGTAGATCTACATGCACTGGCATCGAAACACTACAAAGAATGTAAGGGGGAAAAGCAAACTGCAAAACAACACAGAAATGTCATCCATTTACAGAAAAAATAAAAGAAAGAAGAGGAAACCGTATGTTTCTCTGTGTACCTGTATATTACATAAATGTATCCCCAAAACTCTATGCCCCAAAATAAACAGCCGTTGATGACAGGGGGAAAATGAGATGGGGAGGTTCACATATATGCTTCTGTATATACAACAAGACTTCAAGTATTTCTTGCATAATTACAAAATAAAATAAATAAAAGCCTTTGTGAAAAGAAAAACAGCACCACAGCCACTCTTCTAGTTTCCTCCCACATCAGCTTCCAGAACTCTCATGACCATGAAGTTATTATTCTCATGTTACAGATGGACAACTGAGGCTGAGAGAAGTTATGCAGCTCCCCCAAGGTCACACAGCAGACACAAGCCAGAGTAAGGCCCCAAAGCTCATAGCTCGTCGATACCATCACTCCTCAGAGGTGATATTTCTTCCACGTTCTGAGCCTCTTCAAGGGTGTGGACATTGAGCCTGGGTTAATAATATCCCTGGGCTCCTACCTACTGCACAGAGTGAACCCTCTTTCCCTCCTGTCTACCTCACCCCATCCAGCCCCCAGAGGACCTGCTGGCGAGCCCAGATGGGCTTGGGCTCCAAAGGCTGGTGCAGCTTCCTGCCTTGGCATGGCTGCCAGCCTCCCCGTCACCTGCTCCTGTTCTGGCTCCTTCTACCAGGGAGAGCTCAGTACCCGTTCCCCGCCAACAACAATCCCCCACACAGAGCACCCCCTTAATTACACTTAATGGCAAAGACCATAAGAGCTTTATTAACTTTATTACGGACCCAATTAGCAGCTAATGCCCCGTGACTACTGTCCCCCCCAATAATCCCATTAAACATAATGAAGCAGCCAACCCCCTCCCCTACTGGGTGGGGGCTGAGGGGACAGGGAAATCCATCTTCCTGGGCCTGATTCTGCCCCCTCAGGCCCATTGGACACCAGCTCAGGCCCAGAGCTTCCCAGGGACCATGGCTGGGTGTGGGAAGACAGAGATTAATCAGCAAGTATTTTGATGCCAGCCATTGAGCACACGTGTACAAGTGTGCATGCACACACACACACACATACTCACATATACACACAGCCTGGCTGATGTCCAAACAACTCCTTTCTCAAAACAGAGATGTGGAAACACACACAGCCCTCAAGCACAACCCCGTTCAGCAGACGTTCTCCCAGCTTTGTCCAAGAGCTCTTCAGGGTGGGATGTCCAAGTCGAGGGCCTCTGCCTGGGCTTGTCACAGAGTGAGGGGTGGGAGAGCCAGGAATCAAGGAAGACAGAGAGCCTCCCCCATGAAGCCACACCTTCACCACACCCCGGGCGCTTCCCCTGCTTTGGCTGATGGTTTAAAATATTTATTCAGCACCCACAATGTGCCAGACACAGTACGAGGCCCTCTTTGCCATCTTTTTCTTTTATATATATATTCTTTACCGTTATGGTTTACTACAGGATATTGAATATAGTTCCCTGTGCTATACAGTAGGACCTTGTTTTTTGCTTTTTGTTTGGCTGCGTTGGGTCTTAGTTGCAACACGCAGGCTCCTCATGTGGCACACGGGCTGCAGTGCATGGGCTGTCTAGTTGCTGTGAGTGGGCTCATTAGTTGTGGTGCACGGGCTTAGTTGCCCTGCAGCATGTGGGATCTTAGTTCCCTGACCAGGGATTGAACCCATGTCCCCTGCATTGGAAGGCAGATCCTCAACCACTGGACCACCAGGGAAGTCCCTCTGCCATCTCTCTTGAGCATCACCCCAAACCAAGGAAGTAGACATTATTTCTCCCATCTTACAGAGGAAGAAACGGAGGCCCAGAAAGATGGCCAGTTTTTGAAACAGATCTTCTATGTGATTTGCCTTCAGAGATCTCTCCTCTCTCCTTCCCCAGCAACCCACCTTTCTCCAGCCTAAAGCAGAAGAAGCAGAGATCATGGAGATAATTCTCTATTACCTTCGGATGGGGAACTACAGCATAGAGAATGTTGCAGCGACCATCGTGGTGATCACAGTAAGACAGCCCTTGGGGTTCTGATTCCACGTCAACCTTGATGGGGTTGAGAGAATTAGAAATCAGAGAACATTCCCATTCCCTACTGCCACAAGAGGTCCCTGAATTACTAGACCCCAGACCCCCGATCCAGGGTCTGGCATGAATGCAAAGGCTGGTAGGGGTGGAGGAGCAAGGGGTATTTGAGAGCAATCACAAGTAAATCCCCAGCCGCCCCAGTGATCAAAACCTTAAGACGTGGGGATTCCGGCCCCTGAGGGTCTGTGCTAGGGGTCTCCATCCACCCCTACCCCAAAGCACAAGAACCGCCTCAAGATGGGGTGGGTGGCACATAAAGTCTCCATGGCCTTAGGTCCCTCCACTGGGCCTTGGCCCTGGAAAAGGAGTAGGGAGTAAATACCGCCAAGACTGACAGGATGGAATCGACAGCTGCCCTGAGCAAGGGGGCGGGGGCTCAGGAAGGGAGACCCTTGAACCTTTGCTTGGAAACAGGCTCCCTGTTCCCTTTCCCCCTCCCCCGGGCTGGCCTAGCCTGGAAGCAGCCACTTGAAATGGGTCCCAGGGAGCCTGGGAGAGGCGCTGGCCTGGCTCCAGCCTCCAACTCCTGACGCCTCAGCCAGGCCCCCTTCCCCGGCCCCCACTTGGGCCCAGCCCCAGCTGGGGTCAGGAGGTGAGAGGGAGAGCTTTGTGTCTAGACCCATCCAAGTCCCCCTAACCACCACCACACACCCAGCATGGTGCCCCTTCAGTTGTTCCATTCCTGGGGAGGGCGGGTGACGCAGGCAAATCAGCACCCTCTCCTTTCCCAAGAGGCCATGGGAACTGGGGAAGGGGGCGAATTCTCCTCCCTGGGGTGATTCCAGGGCAAGGCACTGGGGAGCCTCCCCGGGTGTGGGGCCCCTATTCTTCCCTTGGCCCTGGGTGGGTGTTCTCTGACACCAATCCCCCATCCCCACCCTCTGAATGAACAGTAGCACCACCCTCCCCACCCTCCTCATACCCAGAGGGATCTGGTGCCCAGGGAGCCTCAGCTGGAGATATCCAGAATCAGCCAACAGGAACACTAGGAAACCTTGGTGGAGGCCAAGGGAAACCTGGGTGCCTTGGGGGAAAGTTAGCCTGTGCTGAGGCTCTGGGTAGGGTACACGTATTGGCTTTATAGTGTCCTGGCTGTGTGAGCTTCAGCAAGTCTCCCAACCTCTCTGAACCTCAATTTTTCATCTGTAAAATGGGGCTGAAAATAGAACCTACTTCACAGTGCTTTTTGTGAACATTAAAGTTGTAACATACCTAAAATGCTTAGATATTTCAAATCCAATGAATGAGAGTTGCATTGTTGTTGTCAGGGATGAGGTGGTACCTAGATTGGTAATAATAACAATAATAATAGATACTGTTAGAGCATTATAGGGACCAGGGCCCCCTCAACTAACCCTGTGCCTGATTCTTATTGAGAAAGGAGCAGTGGGCTTGTGTCTCCTCACCTCGGCCCTCTAAGGCCTCCACTTCCTATAGCCTACACTGGCATGAGAACTTCAGAGGGCTGAATTAGTCCTGGCTCACTTCCAGTAAGCCCTAAAGGTGCCCCCCCCCATCACATCTTCTTGCACACACACACACACACACACACAACGCGCGAAATGTTCCTTCCTTTCCCTGAAGCAAGGAGGAAGAAAGAGACATGAGGGTTTGAAGGATGAAAATTAACTGGAGCTGAGAGGTGTCAACTTCAAGGCAGCACACCCACCCCCACCCCTTCTCTGTCCAAGGGATGGTGTTTCCACAAGTCTCTGCAGGGAGACCCCAACCCCCGCCCGCCCCAGGTGTGGACTGACGCTGTCAGATGAGGAGAGCAAGCAGGAGAGGAGGCGGCTTGTCAGGGAGAGCAGCTCTGCCCAGCCCAGGGGCCTGTTTTAGGGGTGGGGCCACCACACAACCCACCCAGGACTCAGATTTGTGGCCAGGGCCCAAAGAGGCCAGAGGGTGTGTAAGTCTGACCTTCTGGATCCCAGCTTCCTTGGCCAGAGCCAAAAGTGCCAGGGGCTGAGCCAGCTGGTTGGGGGGCAACTCTTTTCCCAGGAGGCAAGAGCAATCTAGGACAATGATCTCCAAGGGCCTTCCCAGCCCCACCTCTGGCCTGTCTGAAGGTCTAGTTGGAGCTCCTGCCTCCATTTCCCCACCGCTCAAAGAGGGCCAAGAGCTGTTACTTGCTCTGCTTTCTGGGAACGGTCAAACCGAGCGAGGGGTGGGAGGTCCGGGACAGAAGGGCCCGGCAGAGAAGCTAGTCCCCTCATCCTGTCTCTGTCATTGCTAACAGCCACAATTATTATTATTTGGAGAGACGGGCCAGACGTGGTCAGGGACGTGGTTGGGGTGAATGAAATGAAAGTCTTCGGTATGTGCCGTCTAGCCAGGTTAATACTCCTGCCTGTCGGCCTGACAGCAGCAAGATTGATTACCCAGGCCTCCCGCTCTTTATAACTCGATCAGTCGAATTAATCTCTGGCTGTCGGCCCATCTGATGCCTGAATCACAGATTTAATTTGGAGGTGTACAGCTCCTCCCCCATCCTGTCTCCTCCTGCCTTCCAGCCTCCTCTCTCTCCTCTTTCTGCCACTTCTCCACCGTCTCCTGTTCTCCTGCTTCTGCTTCCATCACTGCCTCTCAGGGCCCTCAAGGGGGCAGTGGTGGAGGAGGGAGAGGGGAGTGGGTGGCCCTGAGTCAGCAGCCCCTCTGCCCAGGCCAGACGAGGGGTCATGTTCACCCACCCACTGGGCAAGGCGCCCACCCCGCCATGCTCCACCCCAAATGGAGAAAGAGGCTTAGCTGACACTAAGTAAGACATATTAATGTACTAAAGACTTAATGAAGTTGAGGGGGGGTGAGGGGTGGAAAGTGCTTGCTTTATTAGTTTATGGCCGATTAATGGGGACGCCATTACTGTGATGGAGATGGATTGCTGCTGTCAGCAGCCTGGGCTGAGGGCCGGCCGCTCCTTCCTCGGGTGGTGGGTGCCACGAATGGAGTCAGAGAGAACTTCATTAGAAGCACCTATGGGGTCCCACCTGGGGAGGCCCTGAGGCCAGCCTGGAGGGGCGTGGGGGGGGCAGGGGCTAAGCTCTAGGCTTTGGGAGGGAATTCCAAGGGGTCAGAGCTGGGAGCTCATATCAGCTGGAAACTCCAAAGGCAACAGGGCAGAGAGGTGGCCTGGCTCTGGATCTGAACACATCAGGGGCTCCATAATGTCACCTGGAGGAAAGAGGGGGAGGAAGCTGATAGGACCAAATAACCAGGACCCACTTGATTTGCCTGAGAGCCTTCCCAGGATGAAGGGAGTGGAGAGTAAGGAAACAGAGCCCTATTCCTTTCATCCTCCCTCAGAGGGGCACGGTGCCCTCCAAACCGGAGGACTGGCCCACCCACACCAGGCTGCATTCTGCCCTGACGCTAGAATCCCTGGCACCGGAGCCAGACACCTTGCCCTACACTCTGCAGATGGAGTGGAGGACAAAGCCACATTGCCTCAACTACCTGGCAGCTGCTGACCTCCCAGGCAGCCAGTGGGGAGCAAGGAGATGGAGAGCAGACAGGGTGGACTTAGGGGAGAGCAGTGGGGGCTGGGAGGCCAACACTACCCAACCACTAGGTTTCTCAGGCCTGGGGGACAGGGGGTCCCAATCACTGGACAGGCTGACGAGGTACACCCTTGGTGGCTTCTCCCTCCTCTCAGCAGCTTCTCACCTCCATGACCCCAGCCCCACCTTGCTTTCTTTGAAGAGGGAGGGGTAAATGCTGGATGTAACACAGCTCCGCTCCAAGAGGCCACTTTCTGCTTAAAGTATCTCTCAGGAGCACATGACATTTCGACATGACCATTTCGATGCAGAAACATTAAACTTTCACAATTATTTGTAATTATTATCAACTGGTGTTCAAAACAGACACTCCATAGCCCCTCCGTAACTCCCACTCTGTCCTGAGCCTCTCGCAACTCCAACCCCATCCCTGAGAAGAACCAGCGGTGAGAAGAGATTCTAGAATGGGCTCAGAACCACAGTCTGTTGATCAAAATACATGGTACTAAAAAATATTTTATATTTTGACGTAAGTTAGGCCAAACAACTATGGCAAAACAAGCCCAAAATGCCCTATTTGGTCCCTTGGCACTTCTCACCATGTGTGTGCTTCTGCGGGGACGAGTGTGCCTAGCTCCATGGGCTACCACACGTCTGAGCTCCAGCCCTGGGTCTGAGTGTGCCATGTGTCCGAGTGTTCTGCGAGGGCCTGCATCTGTGCGTGTTGGGTATCTGTCTGCCCTGCAGTGTGGACATTCCCTCCCGGGGCACTGAGCTTGCCACTCATGTCTGTTCAGGCCAAGGGCCAACCATTAGTTCAAGGGTCACCACCCAGGCATGCTCCCCAAGGTAGAAGCTATCTGCTCAGCCTAACTGGGAAATAAATACCCTGTTTCTGAGAGTAATTTAATTATTGGCTCCTGCGGACTAGAGGGTAATTAAATTCCGTAGCTCCCAAAGTAATTAATTGCTATGCAAGTAGTAACACCCTCTGCTTTGGAGAGGAGGATCTCGGCCTGAGTGTGTCCTGCAATTAGAAGCTAATAGCTACCCTGTCAGTTCCTCACTTCTGCTGGGTAATTACCTGCTGAAGCCCCACCGGTCACTGAAGATGTTCCCATCACCTGCTACTGTGCCTCTGGCTCTGGTGGTCCCCACAGCCAGGGCAGGGCATCCCCATAGTGCTGGTTGATCTTGAGATCTTCCCCATGCTGCACCATATCCACAAACCCCAAGAGCCCTGAAGAGATGCCCTTCTTTCTCACCAAGGACAACAAAGGACGGACCTCTTTAGCCTCCCTTTACTGAGGGAAGAGGGGCACCAGCTCCCCAGTGTGTAAATTCCTGTTAGGTTGGTTTGACTTACCTACAGTGAGTTCCCAACTTTCGCAAAGAGTATCTAACAGTTAATCTTCATGAAAATCATTTTCACCATGTGACGGGTTTTTGATGTGGCAACTAGGCTAAGCTGTAAGAATGGAAGAAAGGGGGCTTCCCTGGTGGTGCAGTGGTTAAGAATCCACCTGTCAATGCAGGGGACACGGGTTCGAGCCCTGGTCTGGGAAGATCCCACTTGCCGCAGAGCAACTAAGCCCATGCACCACAACTACTGAGCCTGCACCCCACAAATACTGAGCCCACGTGCCACAACTACTGAAGTCCACACGCCTAGAGCCCGTGCTCTGCAACAACAGAAGCCACTGCAACGAGAAGCCCTCGCACTGCAGTGAAGAGTAGCCCCCTCTTGCCCTAACTAGAGAAAGCCCGCGCACAGTAACGAAGACCCAACGCAGCCCAAAATAAGTAAGTTAAATAAATAAATTTATTTAAAAAAGGAATGGAAGAAAGGGAAGAAGGCACTTTGCAGCAAACACACACCTTCCCCCAGTTATTCAATCAAACACTAATCTAGGGCCTGCTGAAAAGGGATTTTGAAGACATAATTAAAGTCCCTAATCAGTTGCCTTTAAACCAGAGAGATTATCCTTTGTGGGCCTGACCTAATCAGGTGAGCCCTTAAAAGGGACTGAGCTATTCTTTTTTTCTCCGCCGCATGTGGGATCCTCCCGGACCGGGGCACGAACCCGTGTCCCCTGCATCAGCAGGCGGACTCTCAACCACTGCGCCACCAGGGAAGCCCAGAATGGGCTAGTCTTGATGAAGGAGACTGCAAATGCCATCTGGGCCTACAACTGCTCACTGTACAATTGCTAGATCTTCCTTACTGCCTGGGGACAACAGCTTTGTCAGTGCCCAGGGCATCCAGCTTGTTCCTGATCTTTCCTTCCTGACTGCTTGACCTACAGATTTTGGGTTTGCCCCTCTCAGCCCCACCTCCTTAGGAAGGAGCCAGAGCATCAAGAACCCAGGATACCAACCCCCACAATCGCATCAGCCAATTGGTCCTTGGCCTGACTGACATACCTCTCTTTAGAGGTTGGGAAACTGGAATCAGATACAAAACAGTGGCTGATCAAAGATTTGATAGCTGGGAAAATAAGGTTTGGAGCTGGACCCCCAATT